TGACACAATCTGGAACAGGATTTGACTCATGACTGTCAATGAGGGCTCCAGGTGTTCCAGAAGCACCTCTGGTCTCCACCTGTCCTTTCCTTGGCCTCCAGGACAGTCTTGAGAAAGCACACTGAACACATGTTCATGCTCACCTCACAAAATGCTCTGGACCCTGTGAAGTTCTGGTCCCAGCCTCCCAAGGGAAAGGCAAAGTCCAAAGTATTTAATGATGAAGAGAAAAGCATGGGGTCTGAGAAACTCATTCAAGGTGAGCAAAACGATGCACCACTTAAATGATAGGCAATTTCTATTTTGAACAATTTTTAACACAAAAACTGAATTTAGAAAACCAGTCATTCTAATTATAGTTCATTTAAAAATATTACCATTTATAAGTAGAAAGTTCTTTACAACCACTTAATTGGTTATCAGCTTTCCTAGCAATGACGCATAATAGAACCTGAGGATTCTCCAAATATGTAATCAGGTACTATAGTATCTCAACTGCTTGGTGATATACTGAAGCATGTCTCCCTTATTCTCTTTCTTTATTGCTTTCTCCCTTTCCTCTTCCTCTCTTTCAATTCCTAATGAGTACAAGACTTTGAGAACTAGAAGGGTTATAGCAAGTTCATAAATGAACAAGTTAGAATAGATAGAATAAAATATGGCAGGTTACAGAACATCTCTCAAAAGAGCCATTGGTACACTAAATAAGTCTTCCCATCATGGATCCTTAGGAAAGCCAGTTAATTGATTTGTAAGAAGAGTAATACAAATCTAAGATTAGCATTCATGGGAGGCTGCGTTTTAACCTTGCTAATCTGAAAAGCATCTTAAACAACTATATCCTGGCCTTCCCTACCCTCCTTCAACCAGCAATCTTTTTTTTTTTTTTAAATTTTGGTACTAGGACTCAAACTCAGAACTTTGGGCTTGCCAGACAAGTGCTCTGCCACTGAGTTATATCCCCAGCCCTAATCAGCAGTCTCAGGCAAACTTAGACAAAGGTTTTAGCTTCTCTCTTGAATGGAGCAAAGGAATCAGGACCTCTTAATAAACTAACTTGTTTTTGAAATGAACTTTTGTACAATCTCCACAGGCATATTAATTGTAATCTGGCCCCTCTTTAACAGCAGTATCATCAACATTTACATGTCTGCATCATAAACACATGACACAAAGAGACAAGAAAAAAAAAAGCTGACCAAAAGTTGTCCACACTGAGTTCTAGGGTCCATCACCATCACTTTCAAGTCATTTGAATACTCCGGCCATTGATTTCATCATGTCTAAGATGAAAGTGTTGGATTAGTTCTTGTATCCCTTTCTAGACTGAATGTTCTGTAGTTTTTATTCTAAGTTAAAATACTATCCACATTTAAAATCTATCCACTTGAATAGAGTTGAACATGACAAAATGTCCTAGAACTCTCAAAAGACTACAAGAGTACAGTGTAAGATGAAAAAGCTGGAGTACTAAACTGTTAAATTATTCCCTCACAGCCAGCAAGTTCAGGAGCAGCAGTAAGTCAGTAATCAGCTATTAGGTAATTAGATTCTTAATGTCAAATTCAGATTTCAATGTAGGTTCTACTTGCTGTGTGACTTTGGGTAAACTGCTTAAGATCTAAACATTGTCTTCTCTCATTAATACAACTGGAAATAATATAACACCTATAGGTCAGAACTGCATCAATTACATAGGTGAAAAATATCTGGTCCGTACTTAACATGTAGCAGGGGCTCAGAAAGTGTTAGGTTCTTTTGTAAACTACACCATGCTGTCCATGGTATGCTAAACAGGAAGGAAGCCTTTGATTTAACACTGAATAGTTGGCAACCTTTGTTATCAGTGTCTGGATGAGTGAGTTTTAATCTCTGTGTCCTGCTGCCCTCTTCTGGAGATCAAACAGCAGATCTGCTTGTGAATTCTCCTTCTTGGTCCTACGTGAATGAGCCAGCCCTGAACACAACTCAATAATGTCCACTCCTGATGCAACGAAAGCAATTATTGGAGCAACAAGTAGACCCATGAAACAGAACCAGGAGCCACAAACAATGAATTACTAGCTGCCTATCTAATGGTCTAAGCCTTGATGGTGTGACCTCTGGTAAGATTCCCTTCACACATACGCTGGATGGACTCTGGCTGAGAGTTCCAAGTAGTCATTACTCCTAAACAGATCCATGGTTACACAGATAAGAATAACTAAAAAAAGAAAAAACTTTGAGGAGGACTTGGAAAGGAATGGGTCCTGACCTATTTGTAGTTAGCCAGACCTTCAAGACTTTTTGTGATATACCATTTGGTATAACACATAAATTTTTCTCCAGGCTTTAAATTTTTTAATTGTATTTACTCAAGAAATGAATTATAAATAAAATCTTTTTTTTTTTTTTTTTAGTTTTTATCGGTACCAGGGATTGAACTCACGACTGCCTGCTTGCAAGGCAGGCGCTTATGCCACTGAGCTAAATCCCCAGCCCCATAAAATGTGTTTCTAATTCACTGATAATGCTGTTTTGAGCTGGTTTGTTGTCCAAAAGGACAAAATTATTCTTATATATATTCAGGTATTTGGAAGTTTTTCTTAAACATGGTGAAATGCATCAAATGAATTATAAACTATTTAAAATTGAGTAGGAGGCATATTAAATGGTAATTTGTGGACATTTCATGTATTAAAGAGTAACATTCTTTTCATTTGAAACAGTGAAATTCAAATTCCTATCTAAAAATTAATTGATGCAACTTTGGGTTAATAGATGATTTATTAAAGGCATAAAGATGTAGGTGATCCAAATTTTATTCTTGAGGAAAAAAACTGTCTCTAAACAACTAGAAAATATCATAGACTTTTCAGCCCTTGAGATTTTTAGTTATCTATGCTCAATGTGAATACAATGCTAAGAACAAAATAAGTTATTCTTGGCTTACAATATATGCATGCATGTGTGGATGGCTCAACAGAAGTAATACCATTAGAATGCAAACACTTTAATATAAATTTCCATTGCTTCTATGATTCATACATTCTTAGCACAAGAGATTTTTTTTTCTTTTACTTCAAACATCTATTTTGCCACACAGATTATTTAAATAGAGATACATATTGCTATAAAAGCAAACTAAAAGAAAAATTTCAAGTCAAATTACATTTGAAATACACTAAAGAGAAACTATAAACATCCTGAAAGTAAATTCTATGAAGAATGATTTTTATGTGTACAATAACAAACTTATTTGTGTTTTGTGAATCTTTATTATGACACATTGAATTTCTAAAGCAAAATTTTCAAAGCAGTTTTATTTATTTGAAAACTACCCTTGTTTAGACTGAGGTTCATAGATAAGAAACAGTATTTCCAACATCATCTAGCAAAAGGATGAACTATCAGCCACACTCAGGATTGAAATAAACTTCTACTACGTTACTGTTACAGTTTGGATACATGTCCCCCAAGGTCCCTGTTTTGGGAGTTTGATCTCCAGTGCAGTAGTGTTCAGACTTTTGATTCGAAAAGTGATTAGGTCATGAGGGCTCTAACTTTTTCAACAATTTAAACTGGTGACAGCAAACCTTTTAGAGCTTTCAGTAATAAAAACAGCCCATTATAGCATGTGTGCTACAGGTTCATCGCCACTGAAATTTTAACCCATTGATGTATTGATATCTCAATGGGCTTATTATGAGTTGGGAACAAATTAGACAAAGTCACTGGGAGCATGACTTTGTCCCTCTCCCTTCTGCTCTGATCCTTTCTCTTTTCTCTCCTCGCCTCTCTTCTCTTTTCTCCTCCCCTACCCTCTCTTCTTTTCTCTTGCCTCCCCTCCCCTCCCTTCTCTTCCCTCTCCCCCTTGTCTCTTGTTTCTGTTTCTCTCTTCCTCTCCTCCTCCTCCTCTTCTTCTTCTCCCTCTCTCTCCCTCTCCCCCTCCCCTCTCCCCTCCCTCTCTCCCTCTCATCTCTCTCTCTCTCTGCTTCCTGGCTGTCATGAGGTGAGCAGTTTTGCCTAGTCACACCTTCTTCCATGATATACTACCTCACCACAGACCCAGAAACAATGGAACTGTAGACTGTGGACTGAAACCTCTCAAACTGTAAGTCAAAATAAACCTTTCTTCCTTCAATTGACTTCCCCAAGTATTTTGTCACAGCCATGGAAATCCAACACACTTACCTTCAGGAATACAGAAACTTTCAAGCACACACACACACACACACACACACACAAATTGGTACACCTGAGCATTCATTCAGCAAACACAAATGTCCTATAATCAGGAGAGACCCAGTTCATGAAGCATCTTCTTAACAAATCCCCAAAATGCCCTTAAAATGAATAACACATTTCTCTGCTCCCCTGCAATGTGTTCTTTCTTTTATTGTTGCATTTAATACATTGTTATAACTACTATATATATGTCCATTATTTATCTAGACCATGAACACAACAGAAGTGTGGTCTTTATGTTTTATTCATATTTTTGTCCCCAGCATATAACTTGTTTTCTGGAACATGTCAGATACTTCAGTAAATACTGTTAATATGAAGAATTTGTTTGAAATTTTGAATTGCTTTGTCTGAGTTTCAAACACTAAATTTTGGAGTCAGCCATCCTCTAAAACACTTCTGTGCCCACTTGCAACAACCACCTCTCAGTTAATTCCATACAAGTTGTGAGTTCAGTCACAAAGGGTGCTGGCCAAAAGCTAAACAATAATTTGAGACATTAAATTCACGGATATCAATAGCAAATAATCTTCAAGATTTCTTCTACACAGGACCTACTAAGATTCCAATGTGGGAGGGCTTTTCTCTCATCTCTGACTTTAGTCTTACTATGTAAGTACCTGTGAGACAGTGATGCTGAATTCCTGATTCTCTAAGATGTTTTACACATCTAAATCCATCAAGGCTAAATTGTATCAGTAGGGTGAATTCTGGCCCTATCAATCACACAGGAAATTTGGTTAGACTGTATCTGCTTTTTGAGAACTTCTTACCTTTTTAAGATTGTTGATCATTTTCTGGTGGCTTGGATGTGGTTCTCAAAAATTTCATTGACTGGAGGCTTTCATCAGTGTGGTGGTACTGAAGTGGTAGAATCTTTAAGAGGAAGGATTTTGTGGGAATTAATTAGGGGATGATAGCTCTACTCTTGGAGGGGATTAATGTTGGTCTCATGGGTCTGGATTAATTCCCATGAAAATTAGCTTTTACAATAACTAACTAAGCCAGTGCTCTCAAAATATACTGAACACACTATTCATCTGAAGATCACAAGCTTTAAATATCCAGATTCAGTCAATCTGGGGAGAGGCCTGAGATTCTGAATTTCTAACAAGATCCCAAAAGATGGATCTGCTAGTCTTCTGATTGCTTTGAAAAGCATGGCACCCTGCCAACTTCCCTTCCTAATTCTCCTTTACCTCTGGGCTTTGAATAATTAGTTCTTCTTGGCTCCAACCCAAGTTTGGAGACAACCTAGAAGATAGTATGAGAAGACAGTGCCATTTCTGGCACAGGCACTCTAGCCTTTCACAACTACCTTCTACATTGCCAACTTGCTCCACGACCAACCACACAGTGGCTGGGTACACTGATGTGTGCATCAAGCACCTCCAGTCCACTGAATGCTGGAAAGAAAGTCTTGCAATTCATCTCCTCTGTGACCTAAACCTATCAGAATTTCAATTTAACTGGCAAAAGCCAATACTACTTCAAGATATGTTACCCATAAATAGCTACTTCTTAAAACAAGATATGAATAGGTATTTTTATAAGCAAAATAAGGATACAACCTTCACTGAAGAAAGATCAAATTTAATTACTTAATGCTGCTTGATATAAAATCATTCCAGTTGAATAACTTCCAATTCATTCTAATGCATATATGCCAATTATACCTGATTTATGGAGACAAGTTCAGCAGTGCTACACCCTGATATGTAAGACCAGTTACTGTGACATCAAGGGCATCTTAAGGATCATAAAAGTGCCAAGGTGATAAGTTTGACACTGATAGGTTTAATGATACTATTACATTTCCTTATCGAAGAAAACATCTCAGAGATAAGGTAAAAGCACAAAGGTTTTCCATATATGAAGTCTCTTATTTTATTGGGCATAGTTCAAAAGCAACCAGTAGGAACTGATGTCACTTAATTACAATTATGTGTATATATATAATATAAATACACACATACACATTTATAATTGTAGATGTACATATTCGTGTATCGCATATACATATGCACATATAATCTCTTCCATTAACTACTAAATTCAATTAAAAATGAATCCTGGATGAGGGATGAGTAAGTTAGGCACAGAAACTGCTAAGGCAGAGAAACTAGTCTGTGTTATATTTTAATAGTTGACCTATGACATCATGCACTTGCCAAAACTCATAGGACTGTACAACACAAAATGTGAAACAATGTATACGGTATACTCTGGTTTATAATAATACATCAGAACTACTTCACTAATTGTAACAAGTGTACCATGTTAATACAAAAAGACTTCAAACATGAGAGGAAAGTGGGGTAGTAGCAGGAATGTGAGTACAGCTATCTTTACTGGCTGCTCCTATAAATCTAAATTATCCTAAAAATAAAGTTAAAGTTTACAGTTAAGATTACATATGTATAAAATATACAAATTGTGAAAGAATCTCTTAAGATAAATCTCATAAATTTAGATGGTGTAGTTAAAAAACAAATGCTATTGCTAGGTGAGAAATTTAGAAATTATAAAACAGAAACATGTGTCTTCAAATCTCACAACACCACTTCCTCCATGTATCACCCTCCCTAACCTTTCTGCATTCTTCACAAATATTCATACATACTCAATGTTCTCTTGTAGCTTGGGATGGACTCCGGCCTTTTATTAACCTCACTGGATCCTCACAAATACAGTATATCAATATTCCAGACCTTGGCTTAGCCATCAAAACTTACAATGCTCTAATCCAAGGTCCTTTTTAACAGTGCTGAAGAACAGACTAAAGTATTTTAAGCCTCATTTGATTTAACATTAGCATTCATTACAACCAGATAACTCACCATGGTTTAGTCAAGGTACCTGTATTTATTAGCTATCCAAGAAACAAATTTTAATGCCAAGAAAAGTATCTTTCAGGCCCTGAAAAGAAACAAAGAAATAAAATATTTTTGAAGCAAGGGATATTCACACAACACGTGAGTAGCTACCCTGCTTTCTATTAAAAAAAAGAAAAGATCTATGGTCTTTGCTAAGCTTAGCACATGAAATGAAGATAACTGTGTGAAAGGAAGACATTCATTCTACAAACGGGTTCATTTCATCCTGACTGCTACATAACTGGAAACTTGGATCCTAGTGCAGCAACGCTGTAAGGTGGTATAACCTTTGAGAGGTGGGTCACAGTAGAAGGAATCAGGTTATGGGGGCTCCACGGTCATGAGTAAATTGAGCTGTCTCACTGGGACGAATCAAGCCTGATCGGAGTGAGTTAGGTCTCAAGACAGTGGGTCACTGTAATGCAAGATCAACTGTCTTGGCTTCAGCTCCTGCTTCCTGTCCAACCATATGTTCTCTCCTCCTCACACACTCTCTAGCCATGATGCCATCTGTCACATTATCATGCAGACAAAGGCCCTCACCAGAGCTGAGCAGATGCCAGAGCCATGCTCTTGGACCTCCATAACTATGAGTTAAAGAAATCTCTTAGCTTTACTATTACTCAGTGTCAGGCATTTTGTTCTAGCAACTAAAAACCAACTAAGACAATGGCTACCACACCTTCAACACTTTCATTACCAACTGATTTTAAGAAACCCTATTACATGATTTTAGAGGCAGTTCTGGTCTTGGAGAATTGCCAGGCATAGGTTCCTGGGGTCTGGAGGCAGGTTTGCTGCCAATGGAGACATAGAAGAAAAGGTAAAGAAGTAAATTGTAGGTATTCAGGAGTTAGTGAATTCTTCATGCTTCCTTTAAGATTTTCCTACCCTTAAAAATAAATTCTTGAATATTTTCTTTCTGTCCATATTTCCTTTACCTTGCATCCCATTTGGCTATCTGTATACTTTATAGAAAACATGAGACTCAAGATTATTTTGTTCTACCTCAACAAGGAGGCCTGCGAACCACAATGTGGGAGAATAATCCTTTGTCTGCAATTACTATTATAAATATCCTTGTATAATTTACTAGTACTTGAACGGTCTTCAGCTTTACTTGAAGACATTCCTGGCTCCTTTTCTATTAAAGACAAGGCAGGCAGAGAGCATAGCAAATGAAAAGATATTTCCAACTGGGTTCTCAGTGAGATTTCCTTTTCAGTAAATAAAATACCCCTGGAAATAAACTGCTCATCCTTTAAGATATATTACTGAAGTTCTTTTCATATCTGTTCATTCAGGAAAACAGACAAGTTGCTAAGTTTCCTGCTCTCCTGGAAATTAATTCTTATGTGAACTGCTTTAACCACTTTGTCCTTTTTACCTCCGAGATCAAATATAGACTTTTGGCCTTCTCTTCAAAGCCATCCACCTACTCTATCTCCTCTCGGGGCCTCTATTAACTCTCTTGACAGCCCCGCTATGCTCAGCACCTCAGCTTCTTCCAGACTTTCCTGTGTGTGCATGGAGGTAGGTGCCTTGGACCAACCACACATGTGCAACCGCATGGGAGTCTCACTCAAACCCACTGCGAATGCCAACTGCCTCATCTACAAACTAAGCCCATCCTAGAAAATGACCTAGCAAACTAAAGTAAAATGTTTATTCTTTCCCTACTAAGTGCTTCCTGCCCGCTTTAATAGCAAGTAGATAGCTGTCCATTTTGTGTTCTTAGAATAATAGTCTGCATGAAATGGACTGACAATGAGATCTGTTTGAATGATAAATAGCTGCTCTCTCCAGTCCTCTCCACTAGCAAGTACTGAAGCCCAGTGTTGATGCAGGAGATTGTTAAGCATTCACCTTTCCCATCCTGGGTTCTTAACTATTTGAGAACAGACATTGGTAGTCATGAGCAAGCAGAGGGGAAGGATCAAAAGACAAGATTAGAGTAGAAAGGCTTCTGTCCTTCCCTTCCTGAAAATTAGGTGTTATCTACTCCCAATTTAAGTAACTTGTGACCAGTAGAGAAAAAGGCAGCCAGTGGGCAGAGATCTGGCTAGGGCTGTTAGAAAGGTGTGCCACTTGGTTTTCTCCCACTGGAGACTGAAAACACAGGCTTCCATCATCCTGGGTTCAGGCAGGTCCAGAAGATCAAAGTGCAAGTAAAAGCAAGAGGTAGAGGCTAAATGCTTTATCTATTAACTGATCCTATCCTAGAAGTTATGCCATGGTAACAATCTCAAAATCTCACAGGCTCACAAACACCATGTTTATTTCTTGATCCTGTTACAGTGGATTAACTGAAACTCACATTCATGCCCTCTTTACTGCAGGACCAGCCTTCTTTACCTGGAATTTTGCTGCCCAGGGGTCAGAGGAGGAAAAATATTCCATCTCCCAACATGATATTGAAGGCTTCTGTTCATAAATAACCCACCTCACATCTGTGTAATAAAGAGATTGGCTTTGCGTACATGGAGATCTGGCCTTAGCTACTAGCTTCCGGGAAGTAACCTATGTGCTACCTCAAAGAAATGTCTTCTGTGTAAGCCAGGCTCAGTGGCACATGTCCATAACCCCAGCACTAATGAGGCTGAGGAAAGAGGATTGCTGGGATTCCCAGGCCAGCCTGGACTACATAGTGAGTTCAAGGCCAGTTATAATTACATAATGAAACCCTGTCTAAAAACACAAAGAAAATGAAATGTCCTATACAGGGGTGGGGCCAGACACACCTACAAGTGTTAGGGGATGGGTATGGGATGGCCATGCCAAAAAGACCAACCTTGTGACTTGAGGTAGGTGCCTTGGACCAACCACATGTGCAATCAATCAACCAAGTCTGTGTAATGGATAGCTAATAAAAACTGAACACAAAAGCTCAGGAAATCTTCCCTAGCTGGCAATATTCCATGTATATTATCTGTTATAGACTGTGGGCAACACACTCTGAGGACAAAGGAAGTTCACAACTATAAACAAACCCACATCTGG